TGTGCCTCAGACGATAAAGTTATTACAGTTTATGAGTATGGTAAGTTATTTTTAAGTGTCTTGCTCTTTATGATTAAAAGGTTTCTTGTAATTACCGTAATTTTTTTTCTTCTTTGCTCATCTTAAATAGCTGAGTTTGTAATATTTATAAGAAATTTCAAGATAAGATGAATTTGTTCAAATTTTGAAAAGAAAGAAATATTTCAATAGGTGGACGTGTTCAGTCAGCTGGGTCAATAGGCAGCAAAAACGTTGTTAACGTTGAGAAATACCGTCTAACACATACTCTGCATACACATTCCATGGAGGTAAAGTCATCTTCTTGACGATACTTGTCATTGTATGAATTAATTTTAGGTACTCAGCGTGGAATGGTCTTGCGATGGTCGTTACTTGGCTTCTGCATCTATGGACAATTCGGTGGTAGTATGGAATGCGAAAAAGTTACCAGGTATACAACTTTAGAAAGGAGTTTGTACAGATATGGGTACATTTGCAGAACGAATTGTTGTGTTGGACAACTCACGTGGAGGACATAATGGACCTGTTAAAGGACTAAGCTGGGATCCAATAGGGAAATATCTGGCTACGCAATCAGCAGATAAGGTTGATTTATTTGTTTTTTTTTCTTTTTGCTCTTATATCTTTGCTTTCTGATAGACTTTCCTACCTTGCAGTCTCTTAGACTATGGACTACAGATAACTGGCAATGCGACACCGTCATCACCAAACCATTCAGTCAGGTGAGTATGATCAGTTTGAGTTTGTCAACAACAATCCACAGCCCCAGTTTGTTTACTGTCTACTATGGGCTAGAAGAGGTAGACGATCAGAAGTAAAATTAAATAGGACATTTACCTTAAGTAGCGGTGACACAAAGTGACACAAAGTTGCGCGCTAGTGTTGTCTGTGTTAATGTATAATGATGTATAGTGTTGCAGAAGAGGAAATCACAGAATTTTTAAAATCAAATCTCCGCACTTCCCATTTCTACTCTTCTCATTTGATCTATTCTTTAGAGAAGTCGAGTCAGTGACTGCGTTTAAGATGTGATCAGTGGCCTAGCCCTATTTTTAAAAGGTTGACACCTCTCGTTCCAGTGATTTCAACAAGTCAAGCTCACCACACAGCTAATCACCTACTTCCACGAAT